TCCTCGTGAATAGATGAATTTTGTTGGCAAAATAACATGGAAATTTAATTTAAGAAAAAGCGGTTCCTAGAACCAGAAAGTGTATAGTATGTATTGAAAATATATTGTATTGAAAATGTAAAGAGAACCACTCGTTGACAAGGATGGAGATCCGTACCCCAAAAAAACGATATATCAAATTGTGTGTGCGATAGGGCGCTATCTGGTGGAAAATGGAAGAGCCGCGAAGCGAATAAATTAAACGTTAAACATTACTGGTAAGTTGCTCTATTATTGTTGTAGTGTTTAATTAATTAAAGCGCTGTTCATTATGATAGTTGGTAAAAAATCATAATTTTCGTATATTTATGTAGTTTTCAAAGTTAGAAAATATTTCTCAATACAGCTTACTGCATGCATTAGATATTCATAGCATTGGATAATACTCCAACTTTTTTGCTCAAAATTCTTCTTGTATGCTTCTGTCTTTGTGATTGTAAAACTGGCCCGATCAGAAACGTATCCAAGGCAAAAAACGCGAAAAACTACCATCTGTAATACAAATCTATACAAAAGTGGGGCCCCAGATTCGGGATACTACAGATGCGTTATCCAGTCCTATTTCAGATCAGTGGTTTACAGGGTGTATCAAAAAAAGCGCAATCCTCGACTGAAATGTAAATTGCTAAATAAATAATAGACGAAAACGTTAAAGTTTACATTCATTTTAAAGCGTAGCCATTCAGCTTTCTAACAGTGGGTTGTTTCTTAAATTTTACTCATTGGTTCGCGGGTAATAGTACTTTACGTTATTGCGATTGGAGATTAAAAAAATTGAGATGGAATAACAAATCGTTCTCATGAAAATAACTGATTTTTTCATTAAAACAAAAAAATGTTGCATTTTATTAAATGGATTGTAACAATAAGTATAATTACGGCTTTTCTTCCACTATTTTTAACTCAGTTTGAAACTTCAAATGCGATATAATTTTGGCTTGGACTGGACCATCTATAAGCTTACTGACATCAACTTGCTATAATTTCTGTTTACATTACATCGCAATTCGATGACACTCTGGCTCAGATACCTGAGAATGTTTTGACGATTTTTAGTATTAGTTTAGGATTTTCAAACAACCTGGTGTCTTTTAAAATACTTTTAATTTGTTCTTACGTGGGTTTCCAGATGTAGTGACGACAACATTAAAGTTTAAAGAAGAAAATTCTAACATTTAAACCGACTAAACAATAACATAATAAACTTGCATAATTAAACAGCAACTAAAAATGGTAGGTTTTACTAAATCTTTTCCTGTGCAATTATTACTAGCATTGGAGACAAGAATAATAGTTTGTTTGAAAGAGAAAAGAACAGGCTTTGAAATAAGCCTAAAAGAGTTTAACTAGAAACAGTATTTCGAAAGTTATTAAGCACAAAAGATGAATTGCGTTTATTTTGATACACCCTGTAGACCAGGACTTTAGTTACTTCAAGTGGGAAGGGCTTTGAAAAATAGGAAAATTGAGGGGTATAAAACAAAAGATTATACAAATATATTTAACTGCTATGTTTAGAACTATTTCTAAATACAGTTGTTTAATTAAAAGCCGGAATCGCAGTGGCGAATGGAATGCGGAAAAGCTAATTGGAGACATTTTGAGACAATGATTTTGCATTTCAATTCCGCCTTTGACTTTCACCAACCCACTGTTTATTTGGCGATCGTTGCTCGAAATTTAAGCGTTGTTGAAATTAAAGTTACTTTAAGCGTTGAGCCGTCCATGCACTTTGCTTATTGCACGGATAAAGCATAATTACAGGTGGTCAGTAATTCATTAATTTATTATTTATCTAATTTTTAAAAATACTTTGCAACGGTAACCCTTATGAAAAGCTACAATCGTGCACAAAACTGTTAATAAAATGCATCGAAATTTTAGGAATGCATTCAAATAACTTCATTACGTTTCCCCCTTTTCCTACCCTATGTAGCCATTGTTTTTCCACATTATTTCCCCCTGAATTTTCCACACATTTTAAACGGAATTCAATAACATTGTATTGGAGGAAGGGGGAACGAGGTATGTTGCCGTTGCATGCACATATACAAAACATTACATATAACCCGGCCAAAGTTGTGTTAGGTTTTCATTTATACAACTGAAAAAATGTTCAAGGATATGTCTACTTTCATTTCAACTTAATTACTCACCATTTTCGGCGGAATTCTTCACACCACGAACTCTCGCACACCTAACTTCCACTTGTTGCTTGAAGCATTGCCTATTAAATTCCATATTCACCCAGGTTTAAATTCTGGTCTCAAAGCTGGCAAGGAATTTGTGAGGTTTTGTGAGAATGCCTTCACACTTTTCGCTCCGCATGCACGTATGTATGACCTTGTGCATATTGTAACTTAAAAGTTAGTCTGATGATGATTTTGAAATAGAATGAAAATTTTATTACAAATATAAACCAAAGACTATATTATAGCTATCCTATACCTTTTCCTCTTACAATGACAAACACAACTAGTAAAACTGTTATTCAACGAAGATGGCTGTTAGATTATTGCAGCAGGTTATCAATATTAAGCATATAACCCTTCTATAGTATGTTTCCAGTAAAATAACCGTGTAAGTAAAGATCAGAAGTTTGAGGTGAAACCAGGATTATTCATATTGAATTAGCGGAATGACTTACCCGTTAACGATCGCAGTCTGGCAGTCGAAAGCTCTTATATAAAATTATTAATGTATATTGTGAACCCGAAAGCGTCCAAAACACAATGGTACTATAACCTTCAAACTGGGAGTCTCGGTTTCATCTTGAAACTGAGACATCCATGGCCAATGGATTAGTTAAATTAATTAATATGCCAGTTAAACCAATTTTGTCTTACTTCGGCCAAATTCCTAGTTACTTTTTGTCAACAGGTATGATGTATGGTTATTCAACCAAATATCGTAAACGACCATATCTATGAAATAGCGCTGACAAGTAAATGACTTTTATAGCTGGTATGATTGAAGCTTCTGTCAGGGTAAATCCCACGATCTGGGTATTGACATTAGGTATACACAGAGGAAGTTTAATCACCATCGCAACACCACAGGACTTTTTAATTTTAACATCGCGTTAATTGGTATTTGAACCATGCAATGCAATGCAATGAACTATGTCATGCTATAACGAGATATCTACATCACTAAAAATGAAACACAGCTGGGAAGCGATTCAGCTATCGAGAATTATTCGATATGCTTTCACAGTGAAATCTTTTGTGTGCACCTTAACAAGTTTGACAGCGTCAATGTACGCATGCATGTGATATCTGAAAGCGATCACTGCATGCATTAATTTTCTTTTCTATTAATTTGGATTTTCATTCTAAAACCATCTTTGTTGGCCAGAAACTGTTATATAATATATAGATATTTCAATATTACTCGTATTAGAAAATCTGAATAGGTCAGAGGATAATTAATAGGTCCGTTTCTATACTTATAAACTGAGCGGCATCACTACAGACAGACATGAATAATTGTGCGTGGTGATCAATTTTTTTCATATATAATTCGCTTTTGTAATTTGCGTGGCAACAACTTCCTTCGTTTGTTTTCACGAATTCTTGACTTGCAATGATGTGGGCGACGGCCATGTTGGTCCCCTTTCAACCAAAGGATGCCATTAACTTCTTTTGATTGCAAGTCAAGAATATCGCCCACTTTCAGTCATAAGTTGAAATAGAAAAACAAACTTATTTGCGGAAATTTGTGGTACAAATTTGGAAACTACACGTTGCTGGCGTATAAACACATTTAAAAGACGAATACCACACGATGACGTACATTGTGCACATAATCATTATCGTGATATAAAAACTTGATTCCGTTCTGAATTCCTTCTAATTTGAGAAATTTCCAGAAAGTTTTGTTGTAGACCTGCTTGGGTTTACATTAATTATTATAAATATACGATTCATTTAAGTCTGTATGGTCCGAGAATAGTTAGTGTTCATGCATGCAAGTAATTAGCATATATTTATTCACAGACATCATTAATGTACATATTTTGTGACTTGATCCGTCATCTCAACACTGCTTTACATTCATTCGATTGTTTGCTTTGTTTTGGAAATCGGTTCACTATTGGTGGGAAAAATGGTCACACTATACAGGTGTCTCAAAAAAACCGCTACCCTTTGAAATTCACCATTGTTCTAACTTGAATGCCTGAACCTTGTTGAAACTAAGCTATATCAATGCAACAATCTGAGAAACACTGACCTTAGTTGTAAACTGATAATAAATCCTGAAATACGCATGCAACTCGGGATTTGTATAGCTACAATACCCCTGTCTAGCAATATCGATGACGCGCTAAATTTATACAATATAAATGGTTAGTTAGTTGCTAAATGTCAACGTGAGAAGTAAGTCTAGATATTTGTTCCCAATAGACCTTATGCATAATGATGTCACAAGGCTTGATGCCTGCGAGGAATACTGGTCTTAGTAGTCATCGCCCAGGAAAATTTCGATAACGGCCATTTTGAATTGTTCAATTTTTCCGGACGATGACTACTGAGACCAGCGTTACTCATGGGCATTAAGCCTTCTGACGTCATTATGCATAAGTCTATAATATCTAGAAACTATTGTATTGGCTCTACAAATAATCGTATAATCACCGAGCTGTCTCTTTAACGACACCAACAACACTACGTGTCAAATAAGTAAGATAACAGCTACAAAAAGGGGCGTTTAGCATCAATTGAGGTTGTACTTTCAAAACTAAAAACAGGACACCTCGACCTCTAAGCACGAAAAGCACGATAGGCAAGGGGCGTCGCGAAGAGATTTAAGGAGGGGAGATGAGTGGTGTGGATATCGCATTTGACTACAAAAGGACGTCGTTTCTGCCAATCTGGGTGTAATCATTCCAAACTAACCATTCAAGTACATGTAATTTTTGGAATTGGAGATAATATTCTTTACTCTGGCGACGCAATCGTGTTGGACAATGTGCTTTATTTGAATAAGAATAACATTTTCCTGTCATAATTATAGATAAAAATATTAACCCTTTGTGATTGGTTGATTTCAGTGTTGTTAAGGTAAAGTCTTTTCTAATTTTATGATAAAAGTTATATTTTCCACCCGAACTCAAATTTTACTTATGCAGCGCGGCAGCCATGAATGCTCTGTTTTGAAGCAATCTATGAACGTTTTTCAGCCTGTTTCCATATGATTGGTTGATTTATAAATCCCATCTTGTTTCCACTGTTATTACAGAATATTGCACTGCTGTTTGCAATTAAACAAGACTAACAAAAATAACATAGTTGAGTGAAACTTTCAAGCCCTTAGAGTTGTACAATGTGATATCGAAACAGGAAAACTTTGTCAGTGGACGGTTCGCTGTATCAACGTACCTTAAAGTACAATTGTCGCAACATTTTTATGTATATTATAATACATAATAGGATGCAGTTTCTCGTGAAATGTGGATAAAACAAGGACACCTTAATTTTTCAAATACCTCAAATATAGCACTCGTCCTTGGAGCTCGTGCTACTTTGATGGTCTTTGAAAAACTCACTCGTACATGTTTTATATCCAAATTGCACTCGAAACCATCCTATTACCTATATAGTCTAATACCTAAATATATTCGTACAATTTTCAGTTATATAAATGCGACAAAAAAGCCCTGTTTTTTGCCGGCATTTTTAAAGCCACCACTTTGCTATCAAGTTATATATTGTGGCTTAAATCACCTTAATTTAAGTTGCAAATAACATATAAGTATATCGAAAGATAATGGCCTATCTATCATTTATAGCTATCGTTAGATTGCTATCATATCGACTGAATCTCCTGAACCATTGAAAACTTGAAACACAGCAAGAAAAATATACATTTCAAGAAAAGAACCTATAATGTCATGCCTTCTACTTCGGTAGTCTGAAGTTCCCGACGGAGATCAACAAATCGGACAAATCTCATGTGAATTTATAAATACATAATAATAATAATAATGTAACCTATAATTACTCATGTTGGTCTTCGTCAGTTGTTGTCGACTGTACCTGAAAAACAAGCAAAAGGAATTATTTAAATTCTCTTCAATTGAATATATTTTGCCAGCATAGGCGTACAGTTAATTGGCGCATACAGTTGCCGCCCTCCAGCCAAAAAATGAAGTCCGGCATATTATAAACATACTTCTTGGGTCTCATATGACGTCATAGAAGTGACGGCGGGTCAACTCTAAAACACAACACAGCAATCAGAGTGAGTCGATTGTTCGTTTTATGTATTAGCTTTGTGTTTGGAGGCAAATACATGGAATTTCGTATCATTTTCTCACTCCAGTACAGCATAAGCATCAATACATTTGAGGTTGAACCCCTGTCAAATTCATTGCATAATGCATAATGCCTTAGTGAAACCCATTAAGAATTTGGGTAAAAAATGGCGAAAATAACTTTAAAAAGAACACATATGCAATATAGCATTTGAAAGTACCAGAAAAATGTAAACGCAGTGTGGAATTTCGACAAAAAGAGTTTCTTCAGTAAGTCGGGCACAATGGGGAAAGTCGTGTAAATCCCCCCCCCCCCCCCGCTTATTTTTTCCCTCCCGTACGCCTATATTTGATAGTGTGCAAAATATGCGTTTGCAAACCGAATTTATATTTAGCTGGCCAGTCAATCTTCTCAAAAATAGGTGAAAAGGACTTTCTTGTATGTTCCTCTTATACATCGACAAAGTTGCACGTAATCTTTCAATACGTCTTAATTTAAAGAACATTTTTTAAGGAACCCTGGAGAGTAAGCCCTATAGCGGTCACGAGTCCTAAAGCTCCTAAATAAAAATAAATAAATAAAGACGAACACCGAGAAGCCGAGCTGGATAAATCTGCAGTGGCTGAACATATTTGGACCACGACGGTCGCATTATACGGTAGCAAATATACCCTACGATATATTTGTCGTGTAAGATTCGTTTTCTAGAGTATGTAATCGAATAAGCGCACGCGTAAAGTGGTTGTATTTCAAATTTCCCCATAAACTAAACAAAGAGGAATTGTGTTATCAGAATGAATTTTCATACGCCAGAATACGAATCGTATACACGACAAATCGCAGCGTGTTAACGCGAAGCATAATACAGATACACATATTGCACAGCACACTCTGTATCAGGGCTTTTCAGTGACTGGTTACATTATGAATAGATAGATTCTTCACTGACGTGAAGCTGACCCAGGTAGACTTTGAGCTTACAAATGCCGCTTGAGCAGCCACTATTAGTCCATACCTCATTAATGATCTGCCTCTTGACCTATGAGCCTAAACCACCCTGTCAACTTTCCTTGTGGGAGGAAACCGGGGTACCCGGAGAAAACCCACGACTTTCGGCAGAGCGTTGACTTTTACTCTTTTCACATGAGGACTGGGTTCGAGTCACATTGAGAAGTTCCCACTGAGGCTTGAACCAGCGACCTTAGAGGTCAAAGGCAAGTGCGCTAACCACTTCGCCACCGAAGCAAAGTGAAAGAATCCATTCAAATTTTTTGGTACAGGATTTCTAAATTCCAGCTGCGTTAATGTCAGGTATAATATGTAACAATGTGTAATTTATCGTAAAACAACTCTTCTCCCTTTAACAATCATGATGCGATAGGGCCCCTTGGAAAGTTTTGTAACGGGCCACGCGCAAGCTTTGGGCGGCCCAGTGCACTAGTATGAATGAAGTAGCTCAAACCTGATAAGGCAAAAGCCTTATGGTTTCTATGGTGCTTCCTTGCCAAGTAATGTTACATTAGAGGTGAAAGGCAAGTGCGCTAACCACTTACCACTTCGCCACCGAAGCAAAGTGAAAGAATCGCAAATTGAAAGAATCGATTGCAATTAAAGGCATGTCTTGCATGCGCGCGCGTTAATTCCCAACAACTTCGTGTCGTCCGCCGTACCAACAACTTCGTATACAATATTATCGTCTGCCGTACCAACAACTTCGTTTCGCTCCCCATTCAACAACTTCGTGTCATCCGCCGTACCAATGACTTCGTGTCGTTCGCAATACCAAGAAATTCGTATCGTCCGCCTTACCAAAAACTTCGTATCGTCGGCAATACCAGCAACTTCGTATCGTATTTATTTTGCCAGTAGAAATGAAAATTGTTTACAAAAAAGAATGTACTTATCACGTTTGAGCTACCTCATTTGGGCCGCCCAAAGTTAGTGCGGGGCCCGTTACAAAACTTTCCAAGGGGCCCTATCGCATCATAATTGTTAAAGGGAGAAGAGTTGTTTTACAATAAATTACACATTGTTACATATTATATCTGACATTAACGTAGCTGGAATTTAGAAATCCTGTACCAAGAAATTTGAAAGGCATATGAAATTCTTTTTTTGGGAGGAAGGCTTTTGAGCTAGGGGCATGGAGCAAAGTTCCGAAATATCCCCTCCCCTCACGGCGGCGCTGTAGTCGTGCATAATTAAAAAAATTGCTTATTCATTAATGATTACATAATATTTAGTTCAGTAATTTTAGCTCATTTTAAGGCCAAGGTTGGAAAAAAATAGTAAAAAGCTAAAAATTGTTTGATGCAATAATTTAACTATCCTGAACAATATACTAAAAGTCCCCATGTATCCTCTTGGAGCTTTTTCCATTATGACAAGGTTTTTTTCGATTTCCCTATTACTCCCATATTGTTAAAAAACGTGAAATTTCAAGTTCACTCATAACAAAAATGAATCGCATCACTAAAAAGCTCATAAAAACTACATATAAGACATTTAAACAGTTTTTCAAGCGGTTTTCGAGTTATTGCTGTTCCAAATGTGACAAATAGGCCAAAAGCTGGCAAAAATCCTGGGTACTAGTCTGACAACACGTTTCCAACAGTTCAGCATAACTCAAAATCAAGGTAGCCGTTTAAATGTCTTATATGTAATTTTGTAAGTTTTCTAATGATGTAACTTATTTTTCCTATATAATTGAATTTGAAATTTCACCTTTAACAATATAGGAGTTCACTAGGGAAATCGAACAAAAAACTTGTCATAATAGAGAAAGCTCCAAGAGGATACATGAGGACTTTTCATATGTTATCAAGGTTGCTGAAGAGAGTGCATACGCTAATTTTTGGATTTTTACTAATTTTTTCTGACCTATTTTCTATTTTGATTGTACTAATTGAACATGCACCTTGTCCATTAACAGTTAATTTAATTTATGTAGCAAATGAGTTTATAGGGGACAATTAAATACATGTCATTGATAAGTTCAAGTGTACATATATTTTACAAAAATGTCAGAGATAGATATTCATGCATAATAAGAAATATGTTTATGCGTGCTCAAGAATACCATTATAGAAGCACGTTTTGGAGATTTGGAAGATACAGTAGTATGTTATAAAGTATAGCAACTTGATGGAATCAAAACATTGCTACAATCTGTAAATAAGTAGACTCTTCCGATCTTGTTGATTTTTATGTGTGTCAAAGTTGTATAATATTCATAACATGGGTTTTTGCATGTACTTCAGATACATACCTGTTCCTTAATACGATGTTCTATATCTTCACACTTGAGTCGATCTTCAGTATTATATGCCCAACACTCGAGCATCATTTCGTAAATCCAGTCTGGGCAACTTTTAGGTTGGCCAAGTCTTTTTCGTTGTGTCAAATATGACAATATCTAAAATACGTGTCATAAATATCTAAAATACGTATTATAATTTTTTAAATGGTATTAATAGGAAATTACACGGTGCGAGAGTATATTGAAGAGAAATGGCACATGCGGGCATGTTTGCCCCACTATATTTTATAATACCGCGAGTATATGCGTGCACAAGCGGTATTATAAATTAAATATTTCGCCAAACACAAGTGTGATTTTTCAAGTAATATATGAACAACGAGAGCGAGCGTTTCACCAAGATATCCAAACATTGGATATCCCGGTGAGACACGAGCTCGAGTTGTTTATATGGCTTCTCAAATGAATCGAGACGCAACAGAATGTTTTCGTTTGCTGATTTGAATATAATTCTTAACCAAGTATAACGTAATTAGGAATTCTATTCAAGTAATGTTGCATGCGTAATTAAGATATTTGATGAAAACACTAGTGATTTTCATCAAGTTTCACCGGGTTATCCAAATTAGCCTGAAAACAGACCTACGTTTCGCCCGCCCTAAAATTCGCGGGTCGACGGAAAGGCGAAACGTAGGTCAGATGAAAATGTTGTCAAAATCGCTTTCCGCCCACTTTGCATTTTGCAATAATTAACGATGATGATTGACACATTAGATGTAACACCTAAAAATACAATGAATGTTGCCGATCTTTGAATAAATATTAAAATTTTTTGTAACCCCATGCTGCAAACAGTTTACAGCTAGTAATAATACAACATTTTCAACACATTCTATAAATGCAATAAAATCTGCATGCCTACGCAAATTTGGCAATGGCCATGTCCTATTATTCAATTGCATTCAAACCTATGATCCAAACTCTTACATTCATACATTTTGAAACCGCCATACAATGTTAAAATCTAAATAAAATATTTTGTAACGTGCTATGTTTAATATCGAAAGGTAAATCATAAACGTATATATACTATTGCACTGACACATATGTGTATCATTGTATCAATTTTATTATGACTATAATTTTATTATGACTATCACACAATGGAATAATTTTAATACTATCTATGTTTTTAAATTACAACGGAAAGACATAACGCTCAAGTATTTGGCACGTACTGCTCTATTCCCCTCTAGGTTTAATTTTAGACGGTCATACTGTTAGACGAGTTGTCGTTTGACTTCACAAAATATTTTATTTGGAATTTAAATTCTACTATACGCATATTATATTTGTTGAGAATGCCGTTGAAATATATTCTGATCTTTTCCAATATTTTCATGTTAGCGACCAACCAATCACAACTCATCTCCCTGTCACCAGGCGGTCGGATTTCACAACGTTTTGAACAACATTTTGACCAGACCTACGTTTCGCACTTTCCGTCGACCCGCGAATTTTAGGGTGGGCGAAACGTAGGTCTGTTTTCAAGCTATATCCAAATGGCATCTTGTGGTCAAATAGGTGATTATCATTGGCTCATTTGCTCAGGAATTATTAATGAATTTGAGAAGAATATATCGAGAACATTGGACCTATTCCCTACTGAGCAAAATTTTGATCTAGACAAGTCCCGACAAAAATTTTATCATCACAGCTTAAAGAGCAACACAAAATTAGTAATATTTTATAGACATTTTATTAATTTACATTTTATAGTAAAATTTTATAGACATTTTATTAATGTAGTCAAGCGGAACAGCCATATTAACGCGCCTTTGTAAATTGTGAAAATTTCTGACATTACTTTTCAATTCATAGCTGTGAAAAACTGTGAATAATCTTCAATCACATTTCATATCTTTCTTTAATGTTTCAACATACTTAATTAAGGAGCTCCTTGCAAAATAGAAGATCATAAAATATACATTATCAAGTTGCTTATTTAGATTTTGATATTCTGTGTAAATTAATGCACACTGTACCGATTAATGTTTAATGATGATGAATGTTTAATCGAGTAAATTGACTAAAATCATGTTAAATCTGTAATAATATAATATAATATAATATTATTATGACTATCACTAGTATAAAGTTTAGTTCATATAGTAATACATAAATATGTGTTTGCCAATTTGTAAATTGACCAAACTAATATCTTTCTTTTTAAAGCAAAATGAGAATTCAATTAGAGCGCACCCTGTTAGAAATTATTATTGCAAACGCCAAGTCCAGTATTCATTCACAAGTCATGAATCTCGCTATAAGTCCCTTTTTGCCTCATCAATCCCACAAAATGGTTTTTTCGATTTTTAATTTAATAATTCACATGAACTAAAATTAGTATTATGTAATGATTGGCTAGGAGCAGTGCAATGGGCGAAAAGAAAACTAGTACCCAAATACCTCGGGGCAATAGCCTAATTATAAACAACTTCTAATAAATTATTAAGTTGTCGTGTAATTTCAATGAGTGTGGGAAAATCAATTATTTATGACTTATATTGATAAATGATGGTATGGTTTCGAGAGCAATGTGGAAAAAAATATGTCGCCACCAGTGAGTTTTGAAAAACGACCAAAATAGTAAGAATCCGAAGGGATTAAATCAAAATTAATCAAACATTAATTAAAACTGTGGCAATTGATACACCAGGCGGAAATCTTAGTTTAAAGATAAAGAGCAAAGCCCATCAAATAACTTTTTTTATGTTTGGTTTTAAAGTTATTTGCTGGGCTTTGCTCTTTATCTTTAAACATTAATTAGTTTGTCCTTGGCCTATTCATTAACTGCTTGATAATTTTTAAGATATCGTATGGGCAATACAATCCTTCAGATAAATGTACCTCTTCCTTGGAGCTCAACTGATGATAGGGAAGAGATGAGACTTCTTCATCACTTTCATTCAGTTCTTTGTCAAGAAGAGTGAACATTTCCCAGATCAGCACTCCAAAACCCCACACGTCACTGGCATTGCTGTATTCGCCATCAATGATTATTTCTGGTGAACTCCTAAAACGATGGTGATTAATGCTATAAGTTAAAGTTTGCAGGTGGGCTGGGAAAACACCTACAACCATCCTAGCCTATTCGTAGAACTGCTACCTAAAGTAAAATTCTTCTTCTTCATCGTCCTTAAATTGAACTTTAATTAATCGATAATATATATATATATATATATATATATATATATATATATATATATATATATATATATATATATATATATATATATATATATATATATATAGTTTTTCGTTTTACCTCAAAAAAAAACCCCACAATAGTCTGTTTCATCCTATACGGACTATTGTGGGGTTTTTTTTGAGGTAAAACGAAAACTTATATTACGCTCTATCTATATGGTATCATGGATAATAAAATAAATGGATTGGAAACTTCTGACGTCATTGACTGCATCCTTGTTGAAAAACGTGACGTCACGCGTATTGCGAATGTTACCAAAGTTCTCGGCATTTTTGTTGTTTTGCTATATTTTCCACTTTAAAAGGGTGATCTTGAAGCGTAAACTGGTCTAATTGTTTTAAAAACATGCCTAAGCCACGACAAAGTATTCAAGGTAAATGTTTTTCGTCTTTGTTTTGTATTTTTTTACATTTGTAGCTACGAAATTGGCGTCACAAATTTTTGCGAAATTTGCGATGTATTTTTCACTGTTTAGTGCTTGAAATATTTGCTAAAATTGACTGGGAATACTTAGAGTTTAAAAACAAACATTGTTTTCACCACTCGAAAATAAAAGTCATATTTCCGTGCCACCGTGAAATATCCTCTATATATATAGTTTTTCGTTTTACCTCTAAAAAAAACCCCACAATAGTCTGTTTCATCCTATACGGACTATTGTGGGGTTTTTTTTGAGGTAAAACGAAAACTTATATTACGCTCTATCTATATGG